CGGCCGTCGCCGCAAACCGCTCGAGAGGCGGCGGCTGCGGCCTGCCTCGGTCTGCAAGCGGCAGGCAGCCAGACGCGCTCGGGAGCCTGGCCCTGCAGGGAAGAGCGTCAACGTGTCTCCTAGCGTATTTCTGAACAGTTGCGTGTCAGAGGGTCTGCTCGTAATTAGTCGAGTGTTGCGCTCAGCCAGTTGCCAGTTTTTGTAAAACTGGTTTACAAAGTCCCGCCACGTGGCTTAGGATGAGTACCCTAAGATTAACTGCAAGGTTGTTTTAATATTAAAGCTCCTTCTCAAGAAGTACAAAAATTGAGGATTTAAATATCTAGTTGTTAAAAACCAAGTATGGTATAGCAATACACAAAGCATGAAAGTAACTTTTAATGCCGTACGTAACTACCGCTATATTATAAAAGTGTTTTACTACTGAATTTTAGTTTTGTGACCCCATGTTAGATTGATAAGAAGAATGAAAACAACATGGTTTGGGGTTGTTTTTTCTTAGAGGCTGCAGCATCTGCTAGCCTTAGTGCTACAAGGGACCAGTTGCAGAGGGAGGTTGAACTATGTCGAAGTCGCGTTTGAGCCATACTGTTTTTATCTTTTGCAGCTATGTCCCAGCTTCACTTCAGCTGATCTAGTGAGTAGCAACATTATAGAAAGCCCAGCCTACAGATAAAGGGTCTTTTACAAGTAATGCCACTGGGTAAAATAAACTGCAGGCGTTGTCGTTAACAGCTGTATTAATCTCTTTCTGCATCACTGCTCCTAATATAAACCAAACATCATACAGAGATAGCCTAGAGTAATTATTGTTAATGATCTGAGCCGTTTGCCTGACTATACTTACACTGGTGTTACAGTGAGATACAACTAGTAACAGATTAATTACAACATTCCGTTTTAACCTTCAAGAGACACATTTTGCTCTCTTAAGATTTCAGATAAGTTGTATTACTTTATTATTGGACCAAGAAAAATAATTATTGAAGAACAGAAATAGGAATTGAGTTTATTCCCTAACTAATGGATTTACTTTCAAAAGAAATTTTGTGTTTTAAAAAAAAGTATCATTTGTGAATACCGACAGGAGCTCATTGCTTCAAGTTCAGCACTGCATTATGCGTAGGATAACTGCCAGTTTTCTTCTAATAGGAAAATTCCATAACCTTAATTAGTTACTTAGTAGAATATGGTTCATCATTTTACAGTGCCTTATAAGTAAAAATTAATCTTGCAAACATGAAATTTCAGGCTTCAAGCAGGTATGCTCATTTTTCTAGCACCTTCCATTCTCTCCACTACCATTCAGAAAGATGTCATGATGCATGAAGACCCAGCAATCTCTTGCTTTTTCACAAATAAGAAATGGAATGATGAAAAAACAGGGAGGCTTCAGACACAGAACCAAAACATAGAAGTGATGAATAAAGTGAATTTGTTCAGAGAACATCTTTTAAGAGTCACATGTAGAATCAGAAGCATTCTGACTTTTCAGTTCATGAAGTCACAATTTTGCATGGCTAGTGAGTAAATCAAGGTATTTTTCCACATGACTTCTTCATAGCTTCAGCATCCTGGGAATGCCCCTTTAACTAGTAGTTTCTAGATTATCCTGCCTGAGTTTTTATCACAAATGGAAAACTCCCCACTGGGCTATATAGATGCATAGCACTGTTCTGTCTGGAGGGTGACCGATTCTGCTTCCTGTTTAGCTCACTTCCAATTTTCTGTCTTACCATTAGTCAATGCAAAGACCTGATGCTGGACAGAGTTCCCAGAATCAGAACAAGGTGAATACTTGCGTCAACCTTCACCCTGTTGGCTGATACACTCAACTGCAATCACATATTTGGACCAGGATGGGAAAAAGGAAAAAAAATCAAAACTGTCCCAGAAGGGAAGATGTCAATAAGAACAAAATAGATTTATCCCTGTTCCACTATGGGCAGGCAGTATTTAACCCAATGGGCCGAAACTTCTGTTTGTACTTACAGAACAAGGGCTGCAACATTCAGCTGTAGGATATTAGTCTTTTCCTCCCATAATCTTCAACAAGAGAATAAAGAGTACAGCAAAAGATGCAGGTGTTTCTACCCATGCATGTCATGAGTGTTGACCAGGAGCTAGAGGAGAGAAGCAGAAGCACAGTATAGTGCCCTGAGGCAATCAGTCTGTCTTATGGAGGTGTCTGTATCAGAGCTCATCACATGTTCATGGACATCTTTGTCCTTTTTTATTAGAGTTGATAGTTGGAGCAAAGCAGCTACTGGACAGCAGATGAGGCAAAAAAATGAGATAGGGCAAAATGGAAAAAGTGCAGAAAACCACAAAGTTAGGATACAAACTGGGTTTATAGGAAGCGGAAGAAAAAAAATTAATTCAGGAATGAAAGTTTGAAGAGCTTCAAAAGGAGAAAATGTAGGCTGCAGAGGAGTATATTGACAGTGTCCTAGATGTCTCTTTAAGATGAGGTGTTGTCTTTAAATGCAAAGAAAGAAAATGTAGCAAGGACTAACTATGGAAAGTAAGAAGACTAATAAATGCAACTTCTAGACAGGGAATAAGGCAGGAAATGGGTGTGATCAAGATTTAGAATAGGAAATGTGACAGATAAGAGAATTGAGACCTTGTTTCCAGTATCAATTGTTTAGAAATAGGAGGGGTTGCCTCTGTTACCCTAAAATTTCATGGCTTGGATTTGTCATGCATTGTATCAGTCACTTCTCTCTGGCAAGTAACCATAGTTCTGGCCTGTAGCAGATACCATTAGAAAAGGGTATCAATTTAGGTTAGTTCAAAGTTAGTTTATTTTACTCAATATAAAATTTCCCTGAATAAATTCTTTTTTTTTGGTTTATGGACTGCTCATCATAACTATGGCTGATGTATGGAGGGGAAAAAAAAAGGAGATATTCCCCTGATCTGAGGAAAGACCATTGTGCCTAAGAGAAATAACTCAGAAGAATTCTTCATAGTACAAAATTACCTATGTATTTCAGATGAGATTATTGTCCTCCTGAGTAACATGTTATTTGCATAGTAGATCTGCAGGTTAGACCTGCTCAGATAGTAGCATGTTTGTGTGCTTTACATTACCAAAACACTTTCTAAATTTTACAGTTATGAGTCAGCGTTCACATATTCACTTTACCTTTTTCCTCATCCCTGACATGTTTCAAGTTTGTATATACTTTTGCCTGGCTCACGCAATGTGGAGAGCCGTGAAATTCCAAATTGCATACAACAATTGTTGATTTCACAGGTGTGCAAGCACAGACACAGAGGTCTCCATATATTTATGGGACTGGAGTGCAGCCCCTTATATGTTGTTTGCATTGGTTAAACACTGTAAGTATTACTTAATTGATAGGCATTTGATGCTTGCTAAGACAGTTGTTACTAAAGGCATAATTTCTACTGACACCTTTGGGAGTTTTAAGTCCAGACGGGCTGAAAGATCAGTCTTTAGTCTGTGTTTTCTTGCTGTGTATATTACCAACAGCTGAAACCCTGCAAGGACTTTTGTTTTTAGCTGCAGACATAAATGTATGTGCATAGGTCATTTGGTACAGCACATACAGATTAAACCTTGAAAATATTTCCAAGCTGCGTGAAAATCAGACCAACAGAATTTTTGGTAAGAGATTTGACTTAATTGGAAAGGCTTAAAATAAATGATCATACGATTAAAAAAAGCAAGGATTGCCTGCTATTTGTTGTAACCCCTATTTCTGTAATGCCCCTGTAGCCAGAGAAGCAGCTGTTCATTGCTGACATTCTCCCTGCCAGGCATTCCAACTCTCTGAGGTAATGGGCTACAAGCATACGGGCCTTTGCTTTAATTCTTTCAGCGTATCCTTCCGCATGGATAGAGCGAGG